AGCACCCTTCCACTCATGATAATAATGAACCTTGGAATCGGTAGGCTTATCGCACTCTTCCATTAATGATAGTAATGAACCTTGGAGTCGGTAGGCCTATGGCACCTTTCCATGAAGGTTAATGATGAGACTTGAACCGGTAGGCCCATGGCACCCTTTCAAGAGGAGTTAATGAGCTTTCCTAAATGAACCTTGAAACGGTAGGCTTAAAGCACCCCTTCACGTGTTAATGAATGTAATTTGGAGTTGGTAGGCCAATGGCACCTCTCATATGTGATAATGTCAAGGTAACGAACTATTCTATGGGAATGTAAGCTAAGCACCGAGTGGATTTGGTTAGATGGAAACTCCCCTAATGGTTAGGCATGAGTTTCAATAATCGTCTACCTTATCCCATAAACTATGTGCCCGCATAGGTAGCTAGTGGATCCATTAAGCTATATGTACCGGTCTTCCTTAGGCAAGTAGACCACCTCTTTATGGTGTGGGGACTTATGACACCGGATTCCATGACAAGCTCTCATGGTCTATGTCGGTTAAATGCTTACTTCCCATCATGTGAGATTTCATTATGGTTTCTTGATAGGTTCTACAAAGTGTAGATAGTAGCATTGGATGCTACCTATACATTGCACAAGTAGGCTTGGAGAGGATCATAGTGAGTTTCTCTAAATCCTAATGTCTGTGACATAAATGTGCCCTAAATGAGGTTATTAAAGAATGTTGGCTCTCAAATGCTTAATATGAGATGCATGCTATACTTGGGTTATATTATGAGTTATTTTCCCTTGTCATGTCTTAATTAATGATATACCTCTTATGTATGAATATTGTGCAAAGGTGAAAGAAAGGAATGATAAGTTACTTTAAGTGACCTAAATGTGGTGCCTTAGTATGGATGGTGGAATGGGATGCCATCCATACATTGCACGAGGTATAGCATAAGGGTTGCTTGAGGTGAAGGTCCAAGGTAAAGGTTTTCATGTTGATATTGTTTAAAGGTGATATTATGACTTACTTGAAGTTTATGCTTGTCTTGTATGTCTTCTATGCAACTGTTCATGATACTTCAAAAAGTGGCATAATGTATGGTTTCTAGCCAAAATGTCCCTTTAAAGCATGTTTTGCATGGTCATCATACTTAGTACATTTTGTGTACTAACCCATATTCTTCATGTTTTTACTATAAGTGTAGGTTCCAGCAGGTGATCCCTCCTAGATAGTTTGAAGTGTTGGATTGCTTTCCTCTAAGACTTGGTACGTCCTCATGGATTCGAGGACAAGACTTTTAAGTTCTTTTGTTCATGTAATAGACACTTTTAGTTATTGTTTCGATTGTAAAAGGTTGCGTCCCTAACCCATATTCTTCATGTTTTTACAATAAGTGTAGGTTCCGGCAAGTGATCCCTCCTAGATAGTTTGAAGTGTTGGATTGCTTTCCTCCAAGACTTGGTACGTCCTCATGGATTCGAGGACAAGACTTTTAAGTTCTTTTGTTCATGTAATAGACACTTTTAGTTATTGTTTCGATTGTAAAGGGTTGTGTCCCTACTTATGTTTTGTGATTGTGTCTAAGATGGCCATGTGAGACTTAGACTTCCGTTGTGTGTTTTTAAAGTTGTTTTAATGAAGTTTGAATGTTTGGATGTAAATAAGTTTTAAATTCCGCACTATTATCATTATTGAATGAAATGAATGACTATGTGGCTTGTATAAGACCCCTTCGGGGTCGAGTACGCCTTGTTACGACTTGGGGGTGCTCCCGGGTCGTGACATTATAGTCAATAAAAGGTAGTATGAATAAGTGTTTTTTGTGTCTTATCTGAAAAATCATGACCTTTATGAGAAGGCACAATCCTTTTGAAAAGTCAAAACTTATTGGAAAAGTCACTACTCTTTGAAAAAGTCACAACTTATTGAAAAAGTCACACCTCTTTGGAAAAGTCACAACTATCGAAAAATCACAACCCTTTGAGAAAAGTCACAACTTATCAAAAAAGTCACAACTCTTTGGAAAAGTCACAACTCATCGAAAATCGAAACCCTTTGAGAGAAGTCACAACTTATCAGAAAAGTCACAACTTATCAGAAAAGTCACAACTCATCGAAAAAATCACAACCTAAGTTAGGAATATTAAAGTAATTTAACATTCAAGTTAGCAGTTCATGCTTTTAAGGTTATAGATAGATTATTCTATGAAATAGTTCATTACATGAGAAACTAATTAAGCAAAATATTTCTCTGACATGCCTTCATTAATAATCATAACGAATCATTATAATATATTGTTTCTTCAGGAGCAATAGGCCAAAAGAATTAGAGAAGACCCTCTGTCATCTTTAAAATTATATATGAAATCAGTAAATGGGTCCGCGCTTCGCGCGATTAGAACATTCTTCTTTAAAATTTATTAGAATAGAACTATTTTTGTATTTTGATGTTATAGTGTTTTTATATAAATCTGTTTTTAAGAGTATAGAGGTTATTCAATTGTAGTTTACCATTTGTTTTATTAAAAGAAAAGGCAAAATTACAAATCATAACACTATTTTCTCTTAGTTTACATAATTTTATTTTACTGATTCATTCATTTGCTTTTAAAATTTTACTATGGTTAGTTTATTTTTATCATGTATATGCATTGTTACATAGTGTCTTTAATTAGAGAGTCAAATAAATATTTTTCTCAATTTTCTTCTTTGCAAATTTCGTTAGGATAACACTACCAATTACTTTCAAAATATTATATATATATAAAAAAACTAATGTGTTTATCAAGAGCAAAGGTTCCATAATCATTTGATAAACCAATAAGTAATATGTAGTCATTATGTGTTTTAAAATTAAAATGTAATCTTCCAAAATCCAAATTTCACATGTAATATAGTTATGATAGTGTTTTGGATTTGAAGTTGTGCACAAACAAAACATTAAGGATCCTTAAAAAGGATGAAAGAGAAGTAATTTCAAAAAAGTACTTTGGTGTGAGAGAATAGTCATCATTGTGTATCATATAATTGTATAACAATAACTTTACCGAAACATAAACAACAAAGTTTAAAACATGTACTCAAAAACAAGAATAAGCATAAATTTATGACGGTAAAAAAACAATCCAGGATCTGTAACAATAAAATGAAACAAAAAGGAAAAATCTAGCTCTCTAAATGCACAGTGTCTCCTTAAGAAAATCAACCCCTCTAATACCCGAGGTTTAAAGGAATAGATCCTCTCAGGATGAAACAATTTTATTCACCAATGCAATGATACAAAAACAATAGTGTTAGTGAGCCACTAAAAAAGATCAAAGTACACAAATATTTAATTGTGCAGAAGAAGTAGTAGTTCAAAATCAAATATTTAATTGCGCAGAAAAAGAAGAAGTTCAGAATTTTCATTATTTTAAAATGAGAGGAAACCCTTCTATTTATAGATAATAATGGGTAGTGTGAACAAGTGCTTATTGTGTCCTACCGGAAAGGTCACAACTCTTCAAAAAGGTCACAACCTTTCATAAATGTTACAACCTTGCATAAAAGTCGTAACTCTTCAAAAAATTCACAATTTTTCATAAAAGTCACAACTTTTCATAAAAATCACAATTTTTCAATAAAAGTCACAATTTTTCATAAAAGTCACAACTTTTCATGAAAGGAAAGGCTAATTTTGGAAATAAATAAACTAAAAGAGAATCTTTGTTTGTGGTGACGTCATGTAGGCGGGCCTAAGATTCTCTTTTATATATAAGACAAATTACTTAACTACACTCTTTTACTTACCTTAATATCCATTTATCCCTACTTATTTCAAAATTTTCAAAAATCCCTTATTTACCTATGTATCCCGCATGTATCCCGTGCACAACACTATGTATCTCGCTATGTGGAATGTATCAAACACTATGTATCCCGTGCACAACGCTATGTATCCCGCTATGTGGAATGTATCAACCCTAATGTATCTCGTGCACAACGCTATGTATCCCGCTATGTGAAATGTATCAAACCTAATGTATCCCGTGCACAACACTATGTATCCCGCAAACATTATTTTTAAGGGATTTTTGGTAAATAGAAAACTAGAAGGGATATGATGTTATTTAGTACTTATAATATGTGGTTCCTATAATTTATACATATATATATATATATGATATGATATGATATTACTATTCCTTTTCAAAATGTTATTCTATAGGCATAAAATCAAATATACAAAGAATCATTTTTTTTTCAATTTCAATTAACAAAAATAGCATATATGAAGGAAACATAAACAAAAATAGCATATTAATCTCAATTGTAATTTTTTTTGTAAAACTCTTAATAATATCAGCTTGATCACACATAAAACTATATACTTTATATATTTTAACTCAACCAACTATTGATGCTAAGAAATTATGTGACAATACAAAATTATATTGTTGAGTTATGTCATCAAGAAGGTTAAATTATTATTCACAACATAACTATCAAAACCAATTCAGACATTAACAGACAGTTCTTCAGCACTAATTTACAATAGCTATGAAAATCTTGATCTTCAAATCACCAATTAATATGTCCTGCAAACCTAGCAAACAAGAAAGAACTGAGCCCATAACAATCTGCACATATTTAATAGAATTTTATGAACAAAATTAAATTGGTATTGAACAAAAAATATCAAAACTATTGTAATGATATTACTACCTCACTAAAGTAAGTAAATTAGAAACATACCTCATTCTATGTTCATAAAATGCAACTATAAAATGAATTCCATACCGAAACATGAAAAGAGAATAAAATATAACTTGGAACTCGAAGATTAGAGATTCTTGTAGTTCTAATATCAAACTGACAAGAAATGAGAGTTTTTCTTATTTCTTCCAAATCTTCAAGTATATTATATTATCCACCACCTATCATACATCTATATATATATATATACTACTTAAAGAGGGTACGGTTGTTATAAACATGACATGAACCTTTTGAGAATATAGGGAAGATTGTGGAAGTACGGAAGTGTAGGACACATTATGGTGGAATTACACGTTGAAGTTACAGGCATCCACACTAATATGATAAATTTACAACACTCTCTACAATATTCTTCTTTTGTTGTTTAATTGTTTCATAAGAAACCAACATAGATAGGGGATTTTCATCAAGAATTCAAACACGGGGGAGGTTAATATTATATTAAGGCAAAATAATACATCCCTTAACTGAACCCTTTTCAAATTAAGTTTTTAAAAAGAAAGAGAAGCAAGTTGATACACGCAGTTTCTGAACCAGAAAAGAATGATGCATCATTCTGACTTTTTCTCTCTCTTCTTTGCTTCTTCGTCTTTCGATGGGGAAACAAGCAAATTGAATGTCCAAACAGCCAACAAAGTTGCTTGTATTGGAGCAAGCCAATAAACATGTATATGCTCCTTAGTAATATGATCACCCCGCGCATAAGCCCACCCCATCACCTACAAAATTTATTTAACTCAATATCTATCTTGCCCATACAGAAACTTCACTTTATAAAACATATACTTTATAGCACAAGGAAGTACTTACAGAAGCTGGATTCATGCATCCCCCTGTTAGATCAGAACCAAGAATGTGAAGAGTCAGTTTGGACAGACTGGATATCCATGTCTTCATGAAAATACTTGCACGACTTCTTCTGGAAAGTCCAAGTGACATGCTAACAATTGCAAATGTTAAACATCCTTCTGTCAATGCACCTCGATGGATGTCAATGCTCAAAACAGGTCCACGTCCTATGTTTGGAAATGCCGCAATGATGAATCTAACCCCAGTAATCGAACCAAAGACCTTAAAAGCAACAAGATGGGGGAATTGTACATCAGAAGAAACACTTAACTATAATAAGCTTTTCTAGGAAAAATAACAATATTTTAGCTGAATCTGACAGGCAAGAAAAGTAAAAACAAAATTGAAAAATTGAGTCACAATGTCATTGCCTGATTTTGACTGCAAAGTTAATGGTGAGTAGCTTCAGAATATGACTGATAACCAATTAACACATGTCTTTTAAAGCTAATAGTGCCTTTGTTGGAAAAATTAGGGGAGAAAAAGCACTCCGAATCACTCAAACTCCTTGAAGACACGTAGAGGATATCATTCTTTCTTACTTCAGTCTACTTGCTTTCTCAATCAATGATTTACTTAGAAGACAAATGGATTTCTACCAACTTGACTTACATTTTGGCTTATCAAAAATGACTATAATGTCTAGATATTTATAGGACTATCCTAGCATGTACCTAGTTTAGTACATGTATCATACATGTATCCTTGTATCACTATCCTAAATAAATCAACTAACTAAATCCATGTATCACACAAATCAAAAACTCTATTCTTCTGAGACAAGGTTCACATTTCAACAGACTTATCAATTACTTAACCTCATCTTTCTACTATCCATTTAGTCACCCACAACACTCTAGTATATCTAATAGTGAAAAAGTTTAAGCATCCAATCTGCCCAACACAAAACTTTAAGACATGAGTAGAGTGGTAAAAGGACCTATTATTCCAAACCTTTACACAATCCATGTGAGACAACTATATAATTCAACACCCTTCCTCACGTCCTTGTGGTTAGATAACAAGTGTGGGAATGAAATTCCTAAAATGTGGCTCTGATGTAATGTGAGAGAACTAGAACATCTAATACAAAAGTTGAGGCAGTTAAAAGGATGGTGTAAGACCTTTACAAACCCTTTTCGGGAATACTAACACAATTAGATGAGGTGGAAGACACTTGTTGATAGCATTCAAGAAAGCACAACTTCATTATGGGCAATGGAATATCTAGAGCTTTAATAGGCTCTAATTAGCAATGAAAACATGTTTTTTTGACCGAATAAGAGCTTCACAGTCCAGACCAACGTAGATGTTTTGGGAAAGTCTTACTTCTATTTGGAGGCCCAGATTGAATACCAATAAGAGTTGGATTTTGGTCCAGAAATCTGTCCAAAGAAGAAGCGAGTCCAGTGACCCAAACTTGTGTTCTAGAAGACTATTCAATGCTATGTTGACTACTTATATAGCTTTATAGAATGAGTGTTGGTAGTCTTATATGAACCTAGGATTTTACTAGTTTATTTAATTTAGTTTGATTACCCCATTGATAATTTCAAGGGAGAATAGCAGCCCCCTTCTAGGCTTCTACATGAAGGGGGTTTTTTCTTCTTTATTGTAGCTAAGTTTGAATTAATATTAATGTTAGTAGCCTTTGTGGCTTGTAGAGACCTTTGATGTTCTCTTTAGGGTTATGCCATTTATATTCTACCTTGAATCATAGCTTGAATTTCTTCAATGTTAAGATTCCTTGTTAGTTCTTCCCTCCTATTTTTCTTCTTCTCCTTCTTAATTGATTCATACCCTTTTTTTGAGATAATTGATTCACAACTTCTTTAGTGCAAGGTTTCAAGTATCAAATATTTGAGCTTGTGTTCTACTCTTTCAAGAATCAATTCTTTCCCTCTTTCTAATCTTCTAATTTTAGAGTCTTCTGTTGTTTGTGTTGTTATCACTTGTCATCGAGGCTTTGGTCAAGCCGCAAGAGCTTAACATGTGATGTGTTCTGATTTACTTTAATCTGAGTCTTAATTTAAGATACTATGATATTTTGATGATTGACAAACAGTGTACAATTAACAATCAATGTACAAGAAGGATAAACGAAGATGTATAAGAACCAGGTCTTTGGCAAATATCCAAAAGAAATTGGTGAAGCTAGCAATGGTGATGAGGAATTGCTTACAGAACCAGGTTCCTCCAACAAGAACTAGAAGAGATTCTTTGATCTACACAAGAGAAGGTATTCCATGCGACAAAAAGGAACATTGGAGAATTGAGATTAATGCTTTAATTCAGTTCTATAAGTAACTGGAGTTCAAGACATGGAAACTTACCATAATTGAACACATGGATTTAGCTTGGAATAAGGAGAAGTTGGCCGATTCCAAACCAAGTCAAAGAAGGATTGATTTCTCGGAAATTCTTGAACCAAGTCTTGGTTGGATTTGGAAAAGTATAGGCAGCTATTCTACTCCATATAAAGCATTATATTGATGCTGAAGAAGAAGAGTCAATTGTTGCAACTAAGAACCCTTTCCTATCAAGTGTTATTCATACTGTTCTAGCTTTTCTCGATAAGGCTGGGCCAAGTAGTTCTGAGTTGTAAAAGCTAGATTCTTGTGGTCCTTAACTATATGCTTTTTACATTCCTAGTAATTTGTATTAGGTGTTGTTTTGTTTTTGTAAAGGGACGTTTTAGACTGGGTAGAGCCTTTGAAGGAGCTGGAGAAGATACCAACAATTAGGGAGAATTATTGAGGTTTGGGTAGGTGTTGTTAGAGTCAGTTCCTTAGGTGTACATGTTGTAACCTTAAAATTTCTCGAATTATAGTGGAAAATTCGGGGAAATCCTATTGGAGATAGGTCGTGATTTTTGCCGCCCTTGAGCAAGAAGATCTCCAGATAAACTCCTTGTGTTTGATTTATGTTTCCGCAATTTCCTTCTTGCATAGTTGCTAAAAGGACCTGGTCCTTTCAGTTGATAGGTCACAGCAACTTAACAATGTGTTTGTTAGGAGCACATCACTGGTTCGAACTCTACCGCAGACAAAAAGATAAAGTGGAAAAAGGTAGAGGGTCAAATCCATTATTCACTGAATTTCGAATCATGCACCTAGACTTTTCTTGATTATAAGAAAATTAGATGAGGTATACATAATTCAACATAGTAGATAAAGTATAGATCACGAGTTCAAGTCTTACACGGATAATAAACAGCATTTCCACAGGCTTGTTACAAAAAAAAGGAGTCAGGCCCACGCATTGGGGTATCTTAGCATAATAAAATAAATTTATGATATTTTAAACTTTAAGATGAGGTGGTAGACACACTTCAGCACTTATCTTGGACAAGTTTAGGCAAGGCTGAAAATGAAAGCTTAAACAAGCCTTATTGCATGTATTTGTTTTGTATTGAGCACGTGCATGGGCCAAGTACCTCTCAAATAAATGCAACTCAACAAGTTTTATACCAACTGATCTGGAACTCATGACAAATCTCATCAACCAAAAGAAGAAAGAGAAGAAAATTGGGGTCATATGGATCATAATCCATCCTCATAAATCAAGAGCTACTAGTAAATGTTGTAAGTTTGAGTGTACTATCCAGTTAAGTGTAAATACTAGAGTTACATATAACAAAAACAAGTGAAGCTATATCATAACTTATTAGGAAATGCTAATTTACGTAAATGCATGTTGACCCATGTAAAGCACACTCAACCTTCGCAAACAACTTAGCTTTGTAGAAACTGTACGAACAGAATCTAACAGAATCTACAGTAAGAAAACAAGTCCAACAGTAAGAAAATCATACAGATGTACATATATTTGAACTTAAATACTACAAAATAATTAACAAAATGCCAAATAGATGGTGATATAATATATCATTAAATGGAGGTGAACATGTTACTTTCATTGATTTCAAACTTCATCAATCATCATTAACGATATTTTTGTACATATATTTGAACTTAAATAGACGAAGACTCCCTAAAAAAGAAGTTAAGATTTACACATGCATTATGTTGATGCATAAGTACAGATCCATTGTATATGGTTAGCAAATGTTAGTTTTAGTTAATCAATTTTACATAACCATTTGTCCTAGAGAATTGAATAGTACAACACCAGAAGTTCTTTATCCATACCACCATGACATGGACTCCCGACCCAACGAACGCAGGAAATGGAACTTTAAACCGTGCTTCTAAGCCAATTTTAATATTCTGTTAAAACAATAAGTAACTTCAAACTTCAAAACTTTTGCAGCAGAGTACAATAGAAACTAATTGCAGAGCGATAAATAATCCACTGCTAGCCAAAATACCAACCCAACCCCTTTGTGCAAGGGACTCAGCTAGTTAGGTCAGCAAAAAATCACTCTAATGGCATTTGTTGTACATAAGCAGTTACAATAGCCATCAAGGTAAGTGTGTAAGTTACCATCTTGGGGTCCACATATCAAGCTAGCGTAGCCTATTGATGAGATCATTGGAATGAACAACACAAATAACCAGGATGCTAGGGGAGCCACTCCTTAGATAGTCTACCTTGGTTGAGATTCATGATTTGCTAGCATACTTGTCGAAACCACATGGCATTGTGGTGAGACCCTCTCCATCTTAGGCTAAAAGTCGGAGTAGCATGAGGTGCACATGGTGGTTAATGTCATGTCAGTTACTGGATTATCCCACGAAAGAAACATGCTATGTCTATTTAAAGTCTAAGCTTCATTTAAATGTTCTCATCGAAATGAAATCTATCTTGACTCATGATTTGTTCTCACATAGTTATTCATATTGTATTGCATTTTTTCATATACGGGTTTCTCTTCATGCAAGTAGTATTTCATATGTACTCACGTCTCTTTTGTCGTGGTTGCTGCCTCCTTATTATGGATTCAGGTATGGACTTTCAGGGCGGCACAGATCTTCGCTAGGCACTCCGCTCTCTCGCTCTCTTGATTTTGGTGAGTCCCATTTACTACCTGACAGTTTTCCTTATGACATGAACTCCTATAATTTTGGGTATAGCCGGGTCTTGTCCCAATATTTATTCTATTCGTGCAAGTAATAGAAGTTCCATAGATGTTATTGTCATAAGGTGTCTCATTTTGTTATTCCCAGATGTGACTTTGTATGGCTTTTATGAATACACTTATTTTTGGATTATAACTTCATACTTATTGAAAGTGCAAATGTTTTATGAAATGATTTCTCTTCCACTTTTACATATAAATCATATTTATGTAGAATGTAAAGTGGTCCACTGGGTCAAGTTAAGGCACCGAGTGCCGGTCAAGCCCTCCAAGGATTTAGGGCGTGCCAACTTTGGTATATGGGAGGTAGGATCCATTCTTTCTAAACCACTAAAGGATTAACATTTCATCCGATATAAAGACACATATATGGTCAGCATGTCCCTTACATTCTTTTCTTTCAGTCATCTCTACCTTTGAGTCTCAATACGCTCTTTCTTGCACTACACATGCCAACTGTGTTTATTGTACCCCATCTCCCCACCCCATGAGGATTCTATATTATCCTTTTTCACTAGGAAATGTCTTTTTATTGTTGGTTTTTTTATATCTTTTGAAACTCTAATAATAGGAAAACTGAAGAGTTGATAATCGGTTTGGCAGTCTACTTTCAATAACCTTGTCTAACATAAAGCACCACAATCCTTCAAAGTGCTTCCAATGTGTGTGTTTATCTAGACCCCCCCCCCCTCCTCCCCTCCTCCTCTCTCTATAATGCAAATTTTTCATTGAAACTCAATGTGTTTACATGGTCATCTCACAAAAGGCTTAATACCAATCTAGAATCAAGAAAGCTTACAAATTCATAAACCTCGATTGTTGCATTAGGTGTATGCAGAGCAATGAAATTCAACTCATTCAAATTTGTCTTTTGTGCTAATATTTTTGCCAGAGAATCTCTAAATAGTTTGGGGATATCTTGTTCCATTTCCTCATCAAAATTTTAGGTTTGGCTATGTAAGAAACATCATGTTTCTATGAAGAGGGCTTTCCTTGCGATACAGTGATGCATCTTGGTGGTGTGCGCCGCTGGAACGTTTCAAGACCAGTGCCTTTAGAACATTTATGTGGTAGATTGGTTTTCTAGTCATCTATATGGAATAAGGTTTTAGGTATTTTTCTATATATACACTTGCTGATCTCAGTGGGACTGAAAAATGTATCCACTTTTTCATCTTATATAACTTGAGGAATCCTAGTCCTGTTCTTTCTATCCCAATTCATACTACTACAACAACAACATACCTAGTGTAATCACACAAATGCAGTCTGAAAAGAGTGGTGCGTGCGCAGATTTTACCTCTACCTTGTGAAGTCAACTCAATGGACAAACCCAAACAAAATTGGAGTGTCTTTTGAACTTAAATAATCAATCTTTATTTGGGTTTGGTATTTGTTGAATTTAGGAATTTATCCAAATATAATATGGATTTTAAACCCATAAAATTTGTATATCTACAAGACACGACCCACATAAAACGTGAAAGGAGACCTAGGAAAAAAAGAAGAAGAAAGAAGGAACCTGAGCAGGAATTCTAGCAGCAACAGTGAAGATGAAATTGGTGAGATCCCCAGAGATGGCACCAGATAATATAGTGAGAGGGTTGTATGCCCCACCTTTGGTAGCTTTAACCAACAAGGCAAATAAGAACATATTGATGACAGAAATAGCATGTTTGAGGATTTCACCTTTAAGATCATGAGCCCCATAACCCAAGATTGTATGAACAAACATCTTAATAAGCACACTTGACCAAACCCACATGAAAGACATGATGAAATCTGAAATCAGAAGCCTCCTCCTGCTTACCCCCATTTCGTCCTTTCTTTCTTTCTTTGGGGACGAAGGAGTTACAGAGGAAGGGTAGCTTTCTGTTTCTTTTTCCCTACTTATGTTGACGTCGGTCGTCGGAGACTCATTATTGTGGCTGTTGTCAGCATCTTTGTCGGAATTGCTACGAAAGAGGTCAATGTTTACTCAGCGCATATAATATACTATCTCTTTTTCTTATTCCCCTTTACACGGATTCTCAATTCGCATTTGTTTTATACTCTTTCCTCTCCTTCCCTATTTGTTTATCTTTAAGTTTCACGTGCACCAAATTAAAAACAATCTTAAGATTATAAATAAATTTAAATTACTTAAAATTTTATAATTTTCAACCTCTCATATGAAATATTGAATTCGGTGAAATATTATCTTCAATATATATATTTATTTATATATTTTTTATATTAAAATGGGAAATCCTTAAATCAAAATCTAAATTCCTAATACCTTTCTTTTTATCTAAATTTCCTATTTATATCCTTCTTACATAATTAAGTACCTTACTTATTTATTCATTTATGTATATTTATTATTAAAAGAAGAGTAAAGTGTCAAAAATAAATCTAAATTATGTTATTTTTTAAGTTTGGGGGTATAAGTTTCATATATAAATTATTAGTTTGAGAAATACACCTCATGAGTGTGTAACACACTTTCTACTTTATTTTATTTTTTAAAATTGTCACATGACATTTCACCTTGACAAAAATTAAATAATGACCTATTAGTATTAGTTAAAAATTAAAATATCACAACCCGAAAAAAGAAATGACCTTTTAAAAAACAAATTCAAACATTTTTCTTTAAAAAAAAATTAAACATTTTTCTTACCCACATTCACCACCTTTTCCTCTCCCCTCCAAACCACTCACTCCTTTCCAATTTTATTTAAATATTATTTTTATTTTATTTTAAAGAAAAAGAGAAAAATAATTCTACCCTGCCCAATTTAACCCTCCGCTCTCAATTTTTATTTTTTTTTACATTTTTCTCATTTTGTTAGATATATACATATGTTTTTTAGAAAAATATTAGTCCTTGGGCACGTGCTTTGCACGTGAATCCCATATTATTCAATATAAACTTTTAAAAATAACATAAATAATAACAAAATGTGTGATGAATAACACAATTTTTTTTTAAAATGGCTTGAAATAAATAAGAATTAATCTATTTATTGTATACTCACGTCCACAAACAACTCACAAACAGACAAATATAATGAGCACGGGAAATAAACAAAAAACAAAAATATAATATGCTGATGAAAACATTATGCATGGTGAGAGGAAGCAGAAACGAATATAAATCAAACTTGCTCAAAACAGCTTGTTTCTCTGCATTTATAAATAACCATTATAAATATTGATTCAGCAAAAGTATGGAAGATAGTGACAAGAAAATGAGTGACAAAGAGAAAAGATGGAGAAACTCACCGTCTATAAATATTTATATTTTTCTCTTCAATTAATTCATCACTTAAACAACGTATGCCCCTTGCACTTGCAAGATAAACTATTTGACAAATCAAATAAAATTTCAATTTCAAAAGCCTGAAATTAAATGGATATATACCCAATCGATATCCAAAGAGAACTACTTAAGAGTTATGTGTTACCCGCTATCCAAAGAGAAACTATTTAAGAGCTATGAGTTGCAGTACAAAGAAAGTCTACAAAAGACAAGCATCCGACTAGTCTTGGTATATGTTGATGACATTCTCATCAATGGTGACAATCTAAAACAAATCGTAGAATCTAAGAAAGCTCTACGTAAGGCATTTAAAATAAAAGATGTAGGTGAATTGAATTACTTCATTGGCATTGAGTTTTCTACATCAGAAAAAGGTATAGTCTGAGTGCTTCAAAGACAGCATAAACACCTATGAATACTACAATCAGAGAGTATGATAAGCATATCAAAGAAATAGCATATACAAGTGATGAGTAATGAAATAACAGATGCAAGTGATGAGTTGATTACTGATAAAGGAATAAGAATGCTTTTATACCTCACAGTAACCAGGCCTAATATATGATTGTAAGTTCCAGTTTATGAAATTCATTAATTTTCAAAAATCTTTATATTTTAAACTCTCTTCTATTTTAGTGTCAATACAACAATGCTTCAACGCCACCGTTGCAGGTATCAGGTCCTTCTCGTTCCTCAAGTTCAATGTGCACCCTTTCATCTCTTGTGGACAATAGGCTATTAGTGTAGCGCTAATGGGTTCCTCGAACTCTTTGAGGAAGAGTGTTTCCAAGATGCATTTCTTTGTATTTTGTTCTCCAAGCTTTGTCAAGATGTCCTCTAGTTCCTGGTAGTTTTTTCTTATCGGCTATAGGATTTATGGCTCTTTTCTTTGTGGGTTCGCGTTCTCTCTTCTCTTTGTGGCATTTGGGAGTACAGGGTATTCAAAATTTCCTGTGGTATTCTGGGTATGAAGGTGGCTATGAGTGTTGGTTAGGTATGAGAGAGTAGGAAAAAATGGTAGGCTTTGAAATATGTTGTTCATCAACACACTGAGTTCGTCCATTGTTGTTGAGTTCATAGTTCCCTACATTTGAGTTTGTCTCAGTGTCTGCATCCATATCTATTGGCCAAGTTTTGCTATCGCTTCGTCAACTCCCTTCTTGATGATCTACGCAAGGTACGCCAGATCTTGGAGGATCGGGGTTACAGGGTGCCCTGTTATCGTGACTTGAAATGACAATTGTTTGTCTTGTAGCGCCAGTTCCAACCACGAGGTCGGAGTGTGCTCCGAGGGCATTGGCATTGTCGTGAAGATCAATGGTGAGTTTTGAGGGTTTAGTGGTAACGTTTGGTGGGATGTCATTTCTGTTATGAATGGTGTCCCGGTGCTTCTCCTTTATGGCATTTAGGGTTTTATCAACATCCATCGTATTGGCGTTAATGTGATGGATGTTTGATGCGACCTCTACGGTCTTGTCAATGGCAGAAGGGTGATGATTACCCTGGGTAGAAGCGAGGGGGGCGATTTGGTTCATCGGAGCATTGGGACCTGTTATTTGCTCTGGCATTTAAGGGGGGGTTACACTGGCCAAGTAAGGATTTGTTTTTTGGATTTTTGATCCCCTTCATTAATCATTGTAAAAAAGCTTCGGTTTAGCAGTATTAGTGCTTTTTACAGTTGGGGAATTGGTCTTAGGAGTAGAAACTCCTGGCCCATTCCTAAAATTGGTGTAGTTTTTATTATTCTTATTATTATTATTATTAGTATTTTTTTCGTCGTCTACGGGTGATTGGTTTTAAGCGGCGGTGTTTAGGAACTTACCTAAGTAAGGGTCATAAGCCCTTACCTGTCTTTGTTGTTGCTTTGTTTGGTCCTTGGGTGTACCTGCACTTTCCTTTATTGATGTTGGGTTCATCTTCCTGGGAAAGAGACAATTTCCAGTTGTCCGGCTGTTCCACTTCCTTTGACGTTGATGGGACGTGGAGATCTTTTTGTTCTTTGGCAGTTTTGGTACATCTCCCTAGAGTGTGGCCTATTCTCCCACAACCAACACACAAGATTATTTCCCCTTCATAGATTACCCTTTGTTTGTGGCTCCCAATCACCACCTGTGTTTTGATCGAAACTTCAATTGGGACTTGGATGCAAATTCTTGCATATCAACCCCTGAGTGTAGTCAATGTGTGCAAGTGTCGATCTTAAATAGTTCCCTCAGTTTTTGTCTAACCTGTTCTAGTATGTTTTTGTCATAAAATTCTATTGGCAGCTTAGGCAGTCTAGCCCATATAGATGTATGGGTTAGTGTGGATTGTCGAGGGACGAAATTTGGCTCCCACCTTTTAACATATAGGAAATTCCCAGCGACAAACCAAGGGCCTTCATGTAGGATTTTGTGCATACTTTGCACTTGACTTATTTTTACAATGTGATAGTCCCATCCTAAATCTATCAGAGTAAGTGGTTCAACGAGTCTCCAAGTGTCTGTTAATTTGCTCTTTAGGTAGGTGTGTGTTAGCTTTTTCCCAAATACTTTAATGATGACGGACATGCACCATGACTGGTACAATCTGTTATTTTCTTCTTCAATTAGGACGATTGCATCATTTTGAATCCTATTTGTCTCTTTTATGTCTGTTTGTTCCTTAGGGATTTCATAAACCCGATTTAAGGCATTTTCCTTGTCGATCAGTGCTTCTTTGAAAGTGTGGTATCTTTGATTATTTCTACTAGGGGGCTAGATAAATCTGGTGATTCCGGTGTGTCAGGGGTCTCATGGATGGTGGTTCAGTGTAGCTTGGGTAGATTTGGCCATGAGAGAAAAGTCACTTATTGCTGATGAGAAAAGTATTCTTTTGACATGAGATGTATGAAGATTCACTTTAGCCAATTACATCACTTCATTTAGATGAGATTTACATAAATACCCCTCCGCCAACAAGTAGGCATGTTGACAGAGAGGGGCTAGATTACTAGCATTTATTAGATACTCCCTTCGTCCCATTTTATCTGAGGTAGTTTGATTCGACACGGAGTTTAAGAAAGAAAGGAAGTCATTTAAAACTTGTGGTCCAAAATGAATGATAGAAATTTGTGTGGCCGTAAATCATTTCATTTAGGATAAAATAGACATTTTATAGTTAAATTGTTACTTAATATAGAAATGTGTCATTCTTTTTGGGACTGACTAAAAAGGAAAGTAAGTCACATAAATTGGGACACAGGGAGTAGTATTTATTTATTTATTTATTTATTACGGGTATTCTTTTGCTTCTACTGACACCTAATTGCTATCTTTTTTAGTAGTGAATATCTAATCTATTGTTAGGTGTTAATGCCTAAAAATTTTGTCATATACTTCACGAATGATTGTGCATTCATTATTGGCTTAAATTTCACCTTCAAGGTTGAAATAATCAATTAACACACGTCTATTTAGCAAATCACAATATGGTAATACATTTTTTGGCTCTAATTCTTCGCTTATATAGAGTTTGTTAAATACTTTTGAGTTTCTAATCAAAACCTTTTAACATCCATTAGCTTTAGAGAGTGAAGTAACACAATTTAATTAACTGAAGGTCAAATATGTTGGGTTTGAAAGTGATTAGAGCGTCATACGAAAGTTTACAATTGTAAATCATAGAGTTGATAAATCAGATGGCAAATAAAAGTATTCTAAACATATTATAAATATAGTTTGGTCAAACGACCTACA